AACAACTTTATGCTAAGTTGTCCAAATGTGACTTTTGGCTAGAGGAGGTGAGTTTCTTAGGACATGTAATTTCGAGTAGGGGTATAGCAGTGGATCCATCTAAGGTTGAGGCTGTGCTGAAATGGGAGACACCTAAATCAGTTATTGAGATTAGGAGTTTCCTTGGAATGGTTGGATACTGTAGAAGATTCATAGAGGGATTCTCTAAATTAGCATTGCCCTTGACAAGCTTGACTAGGAAAGGAGTTGTGTTTGTATGGGATAGTAAATGTGAAGATAGTTTTCGAGCCCTTAAGGAAAAATTGACTAGTGCACCTGTTTTAGTATTGCCTGATCTTAGTAAGACTTTTGTGGTTTACTGTGACGGTTCTAAGATGGGTTTGGGTGGAGTGTTAATGCAAGAAGGAAGGGGCGTATCTTATGCATCCAGACAATTGAAGGTACATGAGAGGAATTACCCCACCCATGATCTTGAATTAGCAGCTGTGGTATTCACACTTAAGATTTGGAGACATTATTTGTATGGTTCAAAATTTGAGGTGTTTAGTGATCATAAGAGTCTTAGGTATTTATTTGACCAAAAAGAATTAAATATGAGGCAAAGGAGATGGTTGGAGTTCCTTAAGGACTATGATTTTGATCTTAATTATCATCCAGGAAAAGCTAATGTGGTAGCTGATGCCTTGAGTAGGAAATCTTTGCATTTGTCTTCTCTTATGATTAGGGAGATGGACCTTTTGACTCAATCTAGAGACTTAAGTCTGACTTGTGAAGTGACTTCACCACCGACATCCTCAGCCTCATGTTGATCATATGCATCATAAATTAAATATATACAAGAATAACAAGGGAGTGAGAAACTTCTCACCCAGTTTTAGATGTAGAAATAACAGTTAAATAGCACACACACATACACAAAAGGTATAATCAATTTCACATATATGCTCATATATCATGCAATGATGTCATTGACTTGACTCACAAAGATATGCATGTGGCGCCATAAGGAAGTTTCATTTATCATCACCAGTGACCCAAAGGTACACCTTATTACAACTGTCGGTGACCCTAAGGTACACCTTATTAGCATATCACAACTGTCGGTGACCCTAAGGTACACCTTGTTAGCATCACCGGTATGCGGCCTCAGCGGCATGCTTGAAGTTATCCCAGCTTACTTGGGTTCCTGTAGCTATTATTCTTTGCCATGCACTTTGCCACCAAATCCCAGCTTCTCCAGAGAGCATGAAGGTAGCCAAAGTCACCTTCTGTATCAAAGGACATCCCATAGCTTGGAATATCTTTTCATTTTCAAAAATCCAATTAGTAGCTCCATCAGGATTATAACCCCCACGAAAGCTTGGCGGGTTATTTCGTTGGAATCTCTCTAGCCAATCTATCTCTGGTCGTTGGTTCATATTAGTAAGAGCCTGAGCCATTGCTTCTAGAGCATTAGCGATTGCCTGATCGTTTCTACCTCCTGCCATTGTTTTTCTGTCCTCCTTGAAAAGTTAACAATTATGCTTTAAAACAACAATTTTAATCATTTTAACATATCAATAAGTTCAACAATCAATTTACTACACCATTCATCTACCAAACAAGCATAGCAGACTCATAACTCACGACCGATTGAATCGACCTGCTCTGATACCATTAAATGTGACACCCTTACTACCCCAACACATATATTGTAATAAATCTTTCAATTACAGTAAAAGGGTTCACATGAGAAAATTCAACAACTACATTAATAGAAATATCAAACATAAAATACAAGAGTTTCTAAAATTGTTTTCAAAATAATATTACAGTACCAAATTCACATAAATATTTCGTCTTAAAAATCTTCTCCCCGATGTCACAATATCAGAGCATTTCCCAAAATAAAACTATTGGCATCCTATATGCCACTTGCAGTTGGATCTTCTCCACCTAAAATATCCACAATTTATACGGTGAGAAAAGAAAATATCTATATGCAAAGTACATCCAAACACACCATATTAAAAAGTTCATCATATTTCTTTATTTAATAAAATATTTACGAGCATGTACCCTAATTTATCAATCCATCACAATATTTTTACCTTTCTTCATTCACATCAATATAACAATTATTTCAACATCTATAATTCATGTCAATCTCACAATTAATAATATCATTTCCATGTCCATCATTCACAATTAACACTATGCCAAGACATCGCCACATCTGACACAAGTGATACGGGTTAATTGCCTCACTCAACCCACACCAGACCAGGGTCACGCCCTCCCTGTAGCATCACTTACCCAAGGGTCGTGCCATCCCTAGTCTTTTGATGTGAGACATCACAATCACAATCAATATCTCAACCATACAACATCTCATCTTATTATTAAAATTTATAACACGTATATAATTCCATATAACAAATAAACTTAACAAAGTAGGGTTTACATACCCCTCAAGCATATTACATCAATATCATTCATTCTTAACAAGTAACATAGCAATAACCTTCATTAACATAAAAGTTAATAGAATAACAGTAAAATCCCTAATTATTCCCAAAATCTAGCTCACCGCATTTTCCTTATAATTCATTCTTCCTCCCAGATCATCATTCCTACACTTTGGCATATTTATAAACCTCAAGTAAAGTAAGAAGTTTAAAAGAAATAACGGGGAATAAGGAGGCTTAGCCTTCCATTCGGATAAATTCCAATTTATAAATTAATAGGAGGCTCAGCCTTCCATTCAGATAAATTCCAAATTATAAATTAATAGGAGGCTCAGCCTTCCTCTACCCAATTCCCTCATGTACTCTACATATAAATAATCCCCTTTTCTCCCGTACCTGGATGAATAGGAACTTGGGCAGAACCTCCTCCTCTTTTTCTTAAACCGGGACTGGAACTAGAACAGAACCTCCTCTATCCTCCTCCTCTTTTTACAACCTAAGCAAAACCTCCTCTCTTACTCTCCCTTTCTATCTCTCTAGAATTTCCTTCTCTCTAAACTTTCCTTCTCTCTAGTTATGAATTTTCAAAATCCCTAGGCTCCTATTTATAGAAATTATGAAGTTACTATTCATCAGTTACTATTCCTTATAATAATATTATAAGTTACTATGCAGGTTACTATGCATGTTACTATGCATTATTATATTCGAATTAATAAATTTGGAATTCAAATTTTGAATTCCGCAGCCCCCCTCCGTAGCAGGCGCAACCATTTACTGTGCATGTGCATAGTAAAATACTATTCATAAATACGTAAATAGTAGCGCAACCATTTATTGTGCATGTGCATAGTAAAATACTATTCATAAATACGTAAATAGTAAAATATGTGAATAGTAAAATACGTGAATAAAATACTTATTCACATAATAAATACATAAAAATAACACTTTTCATTGAATAAAATTTGAGATATTACAGTGTCTACTCAATAAAAGGGAAAATATTTCATTAATTTATAGTATTTAATATTTTTTTTTTCTATTTTTTTAATTAATTAAAAATATTTTAAAAAATATAATTCATGTATGAGACAAATAGAAAAAAGAAAATGATCTTATAAAAAAGGGAAAATTGCACTCATTTTTCATAAGTGAGTTAAAGTGAGAGAATGAAAAAAAATAAAAATCAATTCATATTCTATCAATCATATATATGTTTATCCTTCATTTTTGAATTACATATAATGTTTTGTCTGTATGAAATTTTTTATTGTTTTTCAATTTTGAAAATAATAATTTGACGTATGATATTTAGACTATAATTTAGGAATTAAAATTGAATAAGAGATCAAGTCTCATTTAATTATTAACACTTATATTAATAATATATTTTCTTTTAATGATGTACAAATGATATTATCTTATATAAGGGTTTATATGTGTCAATTAGATAAATAACAGGGGAGATTAATGTTCACTTAAAAATTAGAGGAGAGACATGTGTCATTTAAAAAAATATCAAGAGAGATTAGTACAATTTTTCCTATAAAAATGACAACAATAAAATAAAGAAGGTCTTTTATATATAAAGACACCTTTCTAATCTTTTATTCTCTTGGTGTAGGATAAGTAGGTTGTATTTAGATAAAAACGTAATAAATTATTTTCTAACCTAATATTAGCTTTAAAGTTAAATTATACTTTTAGTCTTTTATTTTTTTTATTGATATACAAATTTGGTTCCCTAATTTTAAAAAAGAGAATTTTAGTCTCCTAATTTTAAATTTGCAAAATTTTATTTCTTAGTTAATTTGACATCTATTGATCATTAAGTTTTAATATTGACTCATGATTTATCATTAATTAAGTGACTTGATATTTAGTAATATAAAATTTTAAAATAAAAAATAAAAAGCATAGAAATGAGATTTAACAATAAAATAAATATGAATCATCTATTAAAATAAATAAAAGTAAACAAATTTACTTACCTATTTTTTTTAATTTTTAAATACTATATCATTAAATGTCACAATCACTTAAATAATAATAAATCATGGATCAATGTTGAAATTTAATGGTCAATGATGATTAAAATGATGATATGACCAAAATTTTATTTATTTATTTTTTAATTAGAAGAACTATATTTCTCTATTTTAAAATAAAAAAATTAAAATTACAAATTAGAAGTCCAAAAATTCAACTCAACTTTGATTTCAACTCTTGATCTTTTCTTTAATCATTTAAAATTTGAAAAGTAATACAAGTGATATTAAAAATTAAAAATCTACTTAATACCTCTTTACCGGGATGAAAAAAAAAATATACTTCCTTTTAAAAAAATTAAATAATTTAAACTGCCACTTTTGAAAATGTAATAACATTACTATGTGTAAAAAAAAAAAAAAATAGAACATTCCTTGGAACAAATAGTACTGTAATCAAGGCCTTAAGTTTCCTTAATATTTGGGCCATATCATGGTCCTTAAGTTTGACCCGACCCGACCCAAGACATGCACATGTATAAATAAAATCTCCTCGTGGTGTTTCATCTTCGTTTCGAAAATTCAATTTTCATTTACCGCCAAACGCTATCTCACTCACTGCCATGGAAGCAGAAGAACACTTTCAATCTCACGGTATCTCTCTCTCTCTCTCTTAGGGTTTCGATTCGGAATGCTTTAGCTCATGAAAACAATAACTAAAATTCTTCTTCTACCTTTTTTTCTCGTTACTTTACGAATTGAATCATTCTAAGGATAACTACTGTGCTAGGGTTTCGTTCAACGTGATTTCTGCTAATTCTAGTTTCGGTTTTGTCTGATTCCGTTATTTTTTTTTTTAACTGAACATACAGCTTCTTCGGTTGAAGGCATGGAAGAAGTGGTGGCAACGGTAAGCGGCTACCATGGCTCCGAGCGATTCAATCTCATTAAGCTGATTTCACACGCCGGCGCCAATTACGTTGGCGCAATGTCGAAATCTATAACGCATCTGGTCAGTTTTTTTTTTTTGGGTAGAGAGGGATAGAGAGCTTAAATTCGATGGTGGATTTTGGTGCGCAATATCGTAATCGAAATACAACTGGTGAATTTTGCATGTTTGAGTGAGAGAGAGCATAATTCGATGGTGAATTTTTGTGCGCAATGTCGAAATCCGATAACACATTTGGTGAGTTTTGTGTGAGTGTGAGAGGGAGAGAGGGAGAGAGGGAGCTTAATTCGATGGTGAATTTTGGTTGTGTCCAGATTTGTGTGTTTAGTGATATGTTTCCTGTTTCTACTTGTTAAAAGAAAACAAATATGAGGGTGAGTTTAAACGGAAGAAGAGGGTTAGTGAATGAATGAATTGATTACTGTAAGCTTTCGTTGATGAAGTGTTTGATGATTGTTTGTTTTTGTGTTGGAGTGATCAGGTGTGTTGGAAATTTGAAGGAAAGAAATATGATATTGCACGAAAGTTTAGAATTCTAATAGTTAACCATCAATGGATTGAAGACTGCATAAAAGAAGGAAGGCGTGTTCCAGAAGATTCTTATACATTGCAAAGGTGAGTTTGCTATCTTTTCCCTCCTTATAGCATAATTAGGCCAGAGTGTAGTGGCTTTTACAGAGTTATGCCTTTTTGAAAGAAAAGAATACATGGTGTTTGATTTCATTTTAGTCAGAATTTAATATCATTATCATGCTTGTTGAATTAAAATGAGTTGAAAGCGCATGGATCGATTAATTTGATATGGCAAATTTTGTTTTAAATTTTGTAATGGCTTAAATTGGAAGTTGTGTTAGAGATACGAAACCATTCATATACCTCAATCTTAACCCAACAACTTAAACCCTGGGGAAAGTTACATTGGCATTTAACATGGTATTAGTCCCACAACTTTTGAGAAAGTTAGTCATTAACAGTTTTGATATACTATTTTCTGGATATTTGATGTCATATGACGAAAGTCTTTGTTGTGGACTCGGAACTTTGCTGATGCTTGCTGCTAGTTTCTCAAAGTTGGCATCATTGATCATATTAACTAGTAAATGATTATTGTGTTTGAAAAATCTAGGGTGCAATTACTTGGTTGTACAGGAGTTTACTGGTTCTTATTTCCTTATATATAATTTGTGGAGTAAAATTTGGACAGTATTTGGTTTTTAAGTTCACTTGTCATCATTATTATTTTCAGTGGACATGAAGTAGGGCCATTGTTATTGGAAGTTCCCCTCATTGTTCGATCCAGTAGCTTGACAAAGAATAAACTGGTCAGTGACAAGTTACATGATATTGGCTCTGGAAGGCAAAATACCAACTTCAATTCTGGAGCTTCCGGAACTTATGTTTTAGAAGATTCTTGTTTAATGAAAAAGGTAAAATAGTATCTCTGCTCTCCGTTCTCCTCTTGGTCACTTCCAATCTTTATGATGTACACTATAAGTGTTTCTATCATTCTATGTATGTTATGATTCAAAAGCATGTCGCCTCATTTTTATGAAAGGGGCACAACTTTCACAACTTGATATAAGGAGTCATTAACATCCATGTGAACAGTTGATAATTAACCATCAACTCAAATTAATTGTTATTTACACACCTAGGGCAATGGGTACATTTTAAATTTATACGTATTTCTGATGGTATCAGGTCATGTTTCTGATAACATTTCTTTGTATTGCTTAATAAATTAAAAAGTACTTCTGGGTAGTTACCACTTATGGGTTCTGTAGCGGAGATGGGATTGTTTTCTTCTATAGATTTGATTCATTGTCAAAGTTGCGTGAGTTGCGACTTTTCTGATATTTTGGCACCAAACGGTTATTTTTAAATTTGTAGCCAGTATCACGTATCTGTCTACAAACTTGAATATATCTATATTTTTTCAGCATGCAACATATGTAGTTTATTTTATGCAAAATGCTCAATTAAAGAAAAATGTGTCATAAGTATGGACATTAGTGAATACTTTTAGGCAGATAATGCAACTATCTCTTAATCTTTTTCTCATTGCAGGTGCTTTATAAAGTACTTGCATATGCTATACTCTTGAATATAGCATTATGGTTACATGTGTGTTTTATGTATAATTATAAAATGAAAGTGAAGGTTGTTTCGAGCATATCCATCTACAGGCTTTATAATTGTTGATGCACACTTTGTTATGTTGGCAGACCAAGTATAAATGAATATTGAAATAGTATTTGTTCTTTTGGAATGCTCGTTAATCTTTTTTATTTTCTCTGCATTTCCCATTTTTTAAGCATGAGGAGTCAAGTTCATATTCGTCTAGACTGTCAAGGAAAGGAAAAAGGGATATTTGCAATGGTGAGGGAGCCAGTACTGTGGCTGGACCTTCTCGTAAAGGAAAAAGACTTGCAAGAAATCTTGTTGATGAAGTGGTGTTGGAACCTTCAATTTTGGATTTAAGCCCAGATGACCGCTTTTTTAGGATGGATAGACTGCAAACTGATGCTGCAGCTACCTCTAGCCTTTCTGGTGGTGTCAACAATAACATTATTCTAGAAAATGGTGAAGGTCCTGATGCTGGATTAAGTAATCAAAGTAGAACTATCGATGGAGGTTCAGATAATATTGAACAGATCAGAGAACCAAATCATATATCTACACCTAGAAATTCAAATTTGTTTGTAGAAGATCCCCTTCCTATGACACGAACATCAATTGATTTATGTTCCAGTGATGATGAAAAATTCACGGATGGTGATCAGATTGATAATGTTGCAGGCTTACCTACTTCAACAGAATTGTCATGTGTTATATGTTTCACAGATTTCAGCTCAACACGGGGGATTTTGCCATGTGGGCACCGATTCTGTTTTCCATGCATCCAGAGTTGGGTTGATCATAGGGTATGCCTTTTCTTTTTCTTTTCTATTATTTTCCACTGTTACGAGTAAAAGCCTATTAAATGAGAAGTATAACCTTCTCTTCAGCAGGCCGTTTTCTTTTGAATAGATATCAAAGTTGCCCTCTATTTTTTCAATCCTAATTCCTATCCAAGACAATGTAATTTTTAGCTTTCATTCAACCAATTTTAATTTGGTTTCTGATTTCTCATTGGGAATTTGAGGCTCTGCCTAATTGATTTTGTTGTGCCTTTTTTTCTTGATTCAAACCTTGTGTAAATATTTATGAATTTTGTCTGGTCTTACTGATGATGTTTCCAAAAGGTCGTATTTAAAGATTTGTATGGATTGCCTCTACCTTGTTTGTCCTGAATAGCTCATTAGCACTAATGTCATTCGTATATTTCTTTCATTCTCATAATTGCTTTTCAATATTTACAGACTAAAATGGGAAAAACATCAACCTGCCCTTTGTGCAAGGCACGTTTTGTGATGATTAAGAAAGTTGAGCATGCAGCCACTGCTGATCAAAAAGTGTACTCCCAGACAATCCCATGTGACAATTCAACCTCGGATATTTTTATCCCCATGGATCAAGAATTACAAGTTAATATGTTTGAGGTATGCTTATTCATTGAACTATATTAGTTGTACTATACAAGGTGTTATTTTCATATTAGTGGAAATCAAATAGAGGATGAGGCTTTACTCAAATGGTAAGATTGTGTTACGTTGTGACCTAAAGGTTATGGGTAAAAATCCTAGAAACAATCTTTCTCTTTTTGAATCTTTTTAATTATGGGGATAAAGGTGCATATACTTTGGAGTAATTTATTGTGGGAATTTGTGCTTAAAATTATTAGACACTATTTAATATATATATAAAAAGAGGGATCCATTATGATTATCCATCGATTTGAATTTATGAAATGAAGTGAACCAATCCTTCTTCTATATATATATAGATAGAGAGAGAAAGAGAAGAGAGATCTGTTTACTTCAAGACTAAGTTAATCTAAATTTATTCCGTTCGATAACTCATGTTCTATATCAAATTTTAATGTTTCAATCGTTAAATTTTAAATTCTTAATATATAGATTAAATTTGTAAAATTTTAAAAAATTTGAAAACTACTTGATATTTTGTTTCATTAATTAAAATCAACATATAAAATATTTTTATGATTATCCGTTAATTTAAATAATGAAACAAAGTATCTAATGATTTTTAAAATTTTAAAAATTTATAAATTTGATCTATGTATTAAAAATTTTAAATTCAACGATTTTATCATTGAAATTTGATGTAAAATATGAGTTATTGAACGGAATAAGTAAGTAGATTTATTCTTGAAATAAACATATCGTTTTGAGAGAGAGAATAAGAAAGAATTGGCCAGAGATTGACACAGGGAAGACTGTGAAGCATATTGGTTTAACGTAGAATAAGTGGTTGGTAGATTATTATATAATAACGGTTTTGGTTCGTTTATATTTCAGACGGTTCAAACTTTAAAAATATTGAGTGCATGCTATTCAGTGAAAGCCTGTTATAGGGTGATCTAGAGGAATTTAATGGCTCTCATGCTCTTTCTTAACTTGGAAGGTTTGTATATATCTAGCAGTTTAATTGGTTGTGCTACAACCATACGGTGGAAGTTAAAGAAATCTTTATCCGGCCAAAAAAGATAATATCACGTGAGCTGGCGACTTCTGTTTTATTAGGAACGCTTATGTGTTGCCTTTTTTGGGCCCCCAACATTTAGATCATTTTAATAGATTTGCCTAGATTGTTAAGGGCTCTTGTTTGTGTAATAAAACAAAATCATCACTGGCAGCCTTATCTATGATTTGGTAATGTAGGATTTCAGTCATAAAATATTTTTGCGAATTGTCCTATATTAGCCAGACTATATATAATTCCCATGATGCATTAGCTTATAACTGTATTAAAATTTAATGGTTGATTAGCATGGTTGAATGTGCCGATAATGCACCAATAAGAGCCCAGGAAAAAAGATATCTGAATTGAAATGACACAATAGGTTGCTTTTATTTTGTGAATTTACATTATGATAACTTCCCTAAATGTTCCCGTCATTAATGGCTGCACTGTACTTCTTTCCATAGAGAAGGAAAATACTGAGAGCAAGAGTTACTGTTCAATTTTGAGTTTATAAAAAAATCACTTTTTCGAAAGCTTACAATAAAAGAAAAAGTGTCTTAGTATCTTCTATTATGCAGATCGTGTCCAAATTTAGTAAACAATTCTGCAAAGAACTGTTGGCATGTTGCTGTGGTAGGGCATCTATATTAGATTGGTTTGCTTCATATATTTTCTTAAAACTTTGTACTTTTGATAACATGTTCGAATAGTTCATCGTTGTCCATATTTTGATTGGAAGTTTATACACATTTTAATATGATTTGTGTCGCTTTGTGGTTTGTCTTTTGCTTATGCAGTTCTCACAGGTAGGCGCCTGTGTAGTTTGCCGTGGTCGAGAACCAGAGGATCTCCTTGAGAGTTGTGATGTTTGCCGGTTTCGAAAGATCCATTCCTATTGCATGGACCCTCCTCTACGGCCATGGACTTGCACTCCCTGCAAGGAACTTAGGAATGTTTATCGTAGTAACCACTCATATTAGTGTGCATCTTTTTATTCAGTGCAACTCTTTGGAGTCCCAACCATGTCACCTGATGAAATCCATTGTGATATGCTGCAAATCTAAATCCAAACTCTACTCGTTGCATTTTTAAATGACTTAATTCTCAACAATAAAACTATGAAAATGTTAACTATGATTGGATTGCTAAGTTAATTATCATAGCTTTTTTAAACATTTTTTAATTAAATTTGATTTGATTTTGTTTTAGTGTTCATTTCGGAGTAATCCAATCCTTAGATTTAGCGTGATGAGTTGAAAGTGTTTAATTGAGTTTCATTCTAGAATTCTATAAGATGATAAAGTGAGTCAATTCATTTAAAATAAAATGAGACAAATTGATTTATCAAAAAGTGGGACACTATAAGTTAGTCCATCAAATAAAATGGATTGAAAAATGCAAATCACACTTATCACAGTGATGAATTTGCAAGTTGACTTATTTAATAAATTGGTGGGTTAAAAATAATAAATTGACAAGTTGATATATTTTTTATTTATCTAATTCTTTTACAAAAATTTCAATTGAAATATTTTAATATATATTATCATTTTAACTTATATTTATTATTATTTGTAAAACTAACTATAAGTGTTATATTTTTCATGAAACGGAATAAAGTAATATATATATATATATTATTAAAATATTTATATATGAAAATGTATTATTAAAAAATGTGACAGCTTTGGCTTAACATCAACAGTGTATGACAGAGTCGTACTAACTTCTTGGACTTGGGACCGATCACAACTCTCTTTCTTGAACTTCTGCAAAACCATCATCATTGTTTAAGGTATATTGTATTAGTATGTCAACCAGTTGAATATGTGGTTTCAAAATCTTAGAAAATTTCAGCATCCTTCAAAATAAAAGCAATGAATATATTGAAAAGAGTTATGCTATAGCCTCTGAAACAGTTGTCCGAAATATCGTTCGAAACTTTAAAATATTAATATTTTTTAATAAATTTATTATAAAATAATTATTTAATTTAATATTTTATAATTTAAATTATTATTTTAATGATTCAGAATTAATTCCGCACACGTTTTTGGAATTTAAATCATTTTCCTTTTGAAAAACTTTTAAAGAAAGTGGATTAACGAGTTAAATCTGTCATATTAATGAGTTTGGTAATACAGATTAGATGAATTGATTGATTGATTTGTTGAATTTAACTTACCAAAATTAAGTGATTGACAAGTTAATTTATCGACTTCAACTGACATTCTCATATTTTAGATTTTAATAATTATGTCCAATTGCATGTGTGCATGACCATGAAAGAAACACAAACATACATATTTATTGTCTTGTTTATCGTCCAGTAATCTTCATACCTATCAATTATCTTTCTCTACCAAATATAGTATGTATCAAATGTGTCCTCAAAATGCTTTTATTTAAACCATGTCAATTGGTAATGCAACTTGATTGATAATTTAAGATGTTAAATAATTGTACATAATTTGGGTCAAATCTTTCTGAGGGATTAAGGTGGGTTATAATAAAATACGGTATGAATAACTTTCTTGTTACATTATCCCGTTTCATTTAAGTACATTATTTTTTTTTTCCCTTGCCATGAGTTTCTTTCCATTCACTGGCTTAATACTGTCTTTACTGTTGACATGATACATTTTTGCATGAGAATCAGATACTGATATCTCACTACAGAAATTATTTTCATGACTTATGAACGTAGGAGAATGTCTAATCATTTGTTGTATCTGTTGATGGATTGAGTTCGAGAATTTTTTACTAAAATAATTTTTTTTAAAAAAAAATTAACTAAATCAGTATCTGTACCACTTTATACCCAAATAGAACTTTTTAGTGTTCATGTTCAGAATTTGGTTCCCGAGAAACCGAATTCTGAACTTCAATTTTTTTTTTAGCTCAGAATTCGGTTCTTGGGGAACCGAATTTTGAGAAGTGTTAAAATTTTTTTTTTCTTTTCTGTTTGTAGTTCGGGCTGTGGGTTAATGTTGCAACCGGAATGCCCCGTTCTCCAAGCAGAACGGGCCGTTCTGCTTGCACGAATAATCTGTTATTTTTGAAACTGGAACGTCCAAGCAGATGATCCGTTTTGATGCATTCGTCATGTGTGTATTTTTACATCCGGAACGGGCCGTTCTGAATGGAGAACGGGCCGTTCTCCTTGCAGAACGGCCCGTTCTGCAAGGAGAACGACCCGTTCTGCAAGGAGAACGACCCGTTTTCCATTCAGAACGGTTCGTTCCGGTTCTAGTTTTACACCATTCTCAAGTCCAAAAACGCAAAAAAAAAAAAAAATTTAATAGCTCAGAATTCGATTTTCCGGGAACCAAATTCTAAACGTGAACAGTAAAAGGTTCTATTTGGGTAAATAAAGTGGTACAGATGCTTTTTTGGTAAATTTTTTTAAAAAAAAATTTATTTTAGTAAAAAATTCTGAGTTCGACGCCCATCAGTCATCACTTAAGCATGATGAATTCGGAGCGATATAAAATGATACATCCTCCGAAAAATTTTAGCCAAATATTAAAATAATAAAATTAAAAATATTTTATTTAAAATATTTTACAAACACAAATGATTGAATTTGGAACCTAATTCAGAACTCTGATTTGGAATGATAGCATCACTCCGATATAAATATTGTGAACGTATTGAATTCAAGAGATTCATTGTATCAAGTGTTGTTCGTCGAACTTTTGTATCATAATTCAACCAGAATTTTCTAAGGTTTCATGAACCTACTGGCTGGCTGGGTCGCTGGTCCCCACTCTCCGAAAACAACATTAATGTGTTTCCATTCCATGGCTCCCCTGTAATATTGAAATGATATTTATAAAAAAAAATAATAAAAAAATATCTTGAGTCCCATAATCACAAATTTTTATCACAACAATTCATCTTTTTAGTTATTTTTTCCTGTGTCACCTTTTTTATCTCCCTCGTATCAATGCTTCATTTTTATGAGGGTTTTTTTAGGGATGTTAGATCTGTGTAAGATAGATTACCGTTCTGAATATTCTTTCTGATGTTCCCTTTTGTGTCGGATTAATTGTTGATTGTTTTGCTTTCAATGTGCATCGTTTCTGTAGCCTTTTGGCTCTTTATGTGGTGTGGGCCTACAAGAAAGGAACAAAAGGAGAGGGCACAATCTAGGGTGATACCCTCGATTTTTGGCTTTGCCTTCTTCGTGTGCCTTGAGGTTCTAGAATGCACATGCTAGGGTTAACATGTCTTGACCCTTTATGAGTAATTTTATCCTTTAATTTAACATTGTAAGAAGTGTTTTAAACATTCTCACTAGTTACATAAGACTAATTGGACAATAGTTAAGTAACTTTGTAGGCTTTTATAGAGCTTTAAAACATTTTTGACTTTGATGAGTTTTCAATATCTAACTCGTGTAAACTTTGATAATGTATTAAAAAAAATTATATAAAAGCTTTTTAGAGTCATCTTTCAATGACAACATATATAGTTGTTTGATGAGAACAATTTAAATATTTCGAAAAACCATTTTTTATATTTTATTTTTATCTTTATTTCAATTTTTTTAAAACAATTAATAGTTAAAAATCACCTTCACAAAATATAAATTATTTGTCAAATTTAAAAAACAACTTATATATAAAAAATGAAAATTATGAAAACTCTAATAAGAATTGATGGGGTTATTTTTATTTTATTTGTCTGAAGGGATATTTTATAAGAGTTATTTTTATCAGAGGAGCATCGTATAATTTTATTCATGAGTCTCCATTTATAGAGAAAATTTGTTATACAAAATCAAATATTGATATTATCCAATTCTAAAAATAAGGAAACAAATCCTAAAATAATCAAAACAAATTAAATCTAAATATTTGAAATATAATTTTCTTAAACATATTTAGGCATATTCCCAACACACCTCCTTGACTGAATATCTTTATCACCTAATTTAAATTTGAATTTCAAAATTTGCCATTTCTCTTTTTGATTAGTTTCTTCTTTTTGTGATTTTTGTTGCAATCCTTCTTGAGTGGGACCACTTTAACATCTATCTCGAACTTCTCTTTTGAAGGTGATTTTTTATTATCTTCATTCTCCTCTTGATCATCAAACTTCTTTTGAAGACATGCATCTTTGTGCTCTTCACTTGTATCTTCATTTATAATTGGCTTCTCCTTCTCCAAATTTAAAGCAAAACTTTTGCCTTTCATATGGACATTAAATACTTCTTTGTTGTGTATATCTTTAATCACACAATTTTTATCTTTAAATAATACTTTATAGCCTTTTCCCAACAACTGAGCAATACTTAACAAACTTTGATTAATATCAGGAACATATAAAACATTAGATATTAATTTCAAACCTGAATGACTTTTTATAACCACTATTCCTTTTCCTTTTACTGTAAGGTGTGCTCCATTCCCCATTTGGACTTTAGAGATATTAGTTTTGTTGAGTTCTTTGAAGAGTTCTCGGTCATAAGTCATATGGTTTGTACAACCACTATCAATAATCCAAACTTTTGAGGATTTTTTGGTCATAAAGCATGACGTTGAAAGTATTTGTTCTTCTTCCTCTTCTTGTTGATCTTCAACAATGTTGGCTTCTTCTTGTTGCTCATGAGATTTGCATACATGTTTTAGGTGTCCTAATTGTCCCCAGTTGTCACATTTTAAATCTGGCCTCCACCAACATCTCTATTGTGGATAATTAGTCTTTTTGCAATAAGAACATGGTGGAAAATTTTGAGTGTTATTATTTTGACTTTTCTCTTGGAACAATTCCTTCTTCTTGTTTTTGCCACCATTGTTATTCTTCCATTTGGCTAAATATACACCCTCTATAGATCCTTCTTCTCTCATAAGCCTCCTTTATTCTAATGCTTGCAATGCATGTAACACCTCTGCCAAAGTGATCTTACTCAGATCCTTTGTGTTTTCCAAAGCCGCCATTGAAGCTTCATATCTTTCAGGTATAGTTACTAGAATTTTTTCAACAATTCTAGAATCAAGAAATTGCGTTCCTAGTAATCGTACCTTATTAGCAATGCCATGCAATTTGTCAGAGTATTGTTTGATTGTCTCAGTCTCCTTCATTCTTTGTATTTCAAATTCTCTCATTAAATTTAATACTTGCATGCTTCAAATCCTTTCA